CTATTGATACAAAGTATTTCCTGTTTTCTAAGTATGTTTTGAACCAGTTTAGTACAGTTCCTGTACAGTTCCTGTACTAAACAGGATGAAAAACGGAAAAGGTCACTCTTTCGAGGACGCCAATGTTCACATTTTGGACAGAGAAGGCAGATGATTTGAAAGAGGAGTGAAATAAGCCATCTATGTCCACTGTGAACAACTTGTTGAACAAATGCGGTGGCTTACAACACCAGCTGTCTGCCACCTACAGTGCAGTTTTGGGATCCCTTCCCTTAACCCCCACTCACTTCTCTTTTTTTTCAGACAACGTATTTCTCCAACTTCAAACAGGTGTACACTGCTGGCTACGCTACCTCCCTCATCTCTCTTATATCAGCTATTTTTGTCTTCACTGTCTTCAGGTAATGCTGGAGGTCTCATTGAAAAATATTAGACTCTTTTAGACTAAATGACTCTGAAATAAAATAGTATATGAACATTTATCCAAACAGATTAATTGAAGGTTCTTTTTTCTTCTACTCTTTAGGAAATTTCACTGCACCAGGAACTACATCCACATGAACTTGTTCTTCTCATTCATCCTGAGAGCGAGTGCTGTCTTTATCAAAGACGCTATCCTTTTTTCTGATGAAAACATGGACCACTGCTTTATGTCTACAGTGAGTATGTCATCTTCCATGCCCATCAAAGGCACTATATTTACTTAAGAAAACTGGCAGTAGGATTAAGGATAGTATGGTTATCTAAAAATAAACTAAAATTCAGCGTGACAAAACTATTTTACTTAAGTGAAAAACACATTAAAAACTAGGTTACAGAAAAAAAACCTCACTGAAATTATATTATGTGGTTACAAAATGAGCTAAAGTGGGAGATTGACTTAGTTTTTAGGGTTTGGAGGCATTGATGCATGTTGTTAATGATATAGATATTCCATTCTCATTAAACATATAGCTCATAGACTCCAGTTCCCCCACGACAGAGATAGATGGGGGGATATGTGGATGTGTCTATGTGTCAGCTGTTTTCAAAAGGTCTCATTTGTATTGAAGCATCAATACAGAACATTGTAAGATTGACCATTTAAAATACTTATTTTAAATATTTTAAATAGTAAAACTAATACAGAAACTTAAAAACTAAAAAAAAGTTTACATTTTTTTAATTATAAACTAGCTGAAACATAGCTTAACTAAAAGTAAAACCTGAAGATTGGGGTCATTACTCAAAACAAGTAATGCACTACAGCTTGCACTTCACTTTTTAAAAGATTTTGTTTCTTTTGCTTATCTAGTGAAGGGTTACAAGGGTGCTCTCAAACTATGACTCTGTCCTGTCATAGTTTGAGAGGGAGGTACAACCTAGGCAGGTATGCAGACATCCATTCTGGGTTACATTCACCAGTCACCAGTTAGAGGAGAAAACTGCAGTCCCCAGAGAGAATCCACAGAGGCACAAGGAGAAATATGCAGTCTCCACATAAAAGCGCACCACCTTGCTGGCCTTCACAGGGAAGGTTACTCATTGTGGAAAATAATAAATTACACAACTTATTATATTTTTTATTTTGTTACTTGGCAACAGTGCCTGTGTAACTAGCAAACTAACAATAAAAATATGATATGTACACATATCATCCACTATTTCGGGACTGACCTCACTGACTGCTCTTTATGGTCCCCCTCTGATCCACTCTTGCAATAAGGAAGAACTAATGAGCATAATATCACTCCTCAGTTTTTAGAGTGCTTGGTCCCTTTTGTACTTCTGCAGCATGAATTAAACTCAATAAAAACTATAGCTTGGAACATTTTTTTCTATCCACCCAAGATGCAGATAATTAAATGATACTTAATTGTCAGTGTGGTACTTCAATTCAATTCAATTCAATTTTATATATATAGCACCAAATTACAACAACAGTCACCTCAAGGTGCTTTATATTATAAGGTATACCCTGCAACAATACATAGAGAGAAACCCAACAATCATATGACCCCCTATGAGCAAGAGGGGCAGCTATCTGCTGTGACCAGTTGGTGTCAGAGAAGGAAGACAGAATAACAGACATGCTGTGGAAGAGAGCCAGAGATTAATAGTAAGTATGATTCAATGCAGAGAGGTCTATTAACACATAGTGAGTGAGAAAGGTGACTGAAGAAGAAATACTCAATGCATCACAGGAGTCCCCCAGCAGCCTAGAACTATCGCAGCATAACTAAGGGAGGATTCAGGGTCACCTGATCCAGCCCTAACTATGTGCTTAATCAAAAAGGAAAGTTTTAAACCTGATCTTAAAAGTAGAGATTGTGTCTGTCTCCCGAATCCAAACTGGAAGCTGCTTCCACAGAAGAGGGGCCTGAAAACTGAAGGCTCTCCCTCTTATTCTACCTTTAAATACTCTAGGAAATTCTGGGTTTCTTGGACAAGTGCTCCAATTTCTACTTAAGAATATAGTTGGGGGGGGGGGGGGGGGGAAGGCAGTGGTCCTTTCAAAATAGCCCTTTATTTTGGCAGCACCACAATTACAATGACTTCCAAAATGTGCAACACAAGAAGTATCCATGTTTTAAAGCTATAATCAGAACTTGTCAAGTAATCTTGGAAAAAGTAACTAAACTTGGTCAATTATTTCTTCAGACTTTACATGTCAAACCTTCTCAGAAGAAACAAGACATGTTGGCAATTTAACAATGTATTAAACAAACAGGGGTCTCAGTAGCATGTGGAAGAACAATACACAGAATCAGCCTGGCACCACATCTTCATGCTGGCCACAATCTGGACACACTAAAGCAGTGGGATGGTATCGCATTCTTCAATCAGCACTTGTCACAGGTCAGCCAAATAAACAGGCTTTCCAGTGGTATGAGATTTATACCCGTTGCAACAATAAAGAAATAATAAACCAAATGCAAATTTCCTTACTTTGCATGCTGCTAATAATCCAATTTAATAGTTTTTTAATTTAATCTAACTGCACAGGTCAGATTATTGTTTCTATCCAGCCATATTCTTTTTACAATTACTGGGTAAATCTGTTGCAGGAAAAAAGGGAGATAAAATATCCATGTTTCAACTGCAAGGTTTCTTTAAACTGTAGCAATGAGTTTGGTTAGCTGTGTTTGGTTTTCTTGATATCGTCTCTGATGAGGTTAATAACTTAATATAAGAGCACCAAGGAGCAAGACTGAAATGCTGGGAATGGCTGAGCAAAGAGCCGGTGAGAGCATAAATGTGTTTCCCTTTGTGTTTTTCTCCTGATGAGGCTGTCTGGAGTGCTGGTAAGTGTGCCTCTTGTGTCGGTATGAGGGACAAGCACCAGAACATCAGCATGACTCGTAGAAAGGCTTTGAGGCACAATGAATAGGTAATATGAAGGAAAAAAAAGCCTACTCATGACATCAACAAAAACACGGTTTAAAGAAAAATACAGTGGGCAAGGCTAGATATGGATAAGAAGATGGTTCTAGAACAGGATTCACAGTGAAATCTATCAATCAGTAATACATTATGTATTAATTACGAACTGTCCAGATGTATCAAATATCATGTACAAAAGGTTAGCAGCTAACTAGTGAAGAAAATAGAAGAAAATTACAGAAACAGGCAATGGAGAGCAAAACTAGAGCTAAAACACCTTGAATAGTTGGCATTCCTTCTGGTGGGAACTATCTAACTGAGGGTTACTCTTCAAAAACGTACAGGGAATTAGGCAACAGATTGCTAACAAGTCTAATTTAATATGCTATATGCATATAACATGCTTTTTAGCTTTCATAGTGTGAAGTAGGAAGTGGGCTCACCCAAGTATCCCAAAATTTTGTCCAACACCCGAAAGGTGACAATGACAGAGTAGCGAAAACTACAAGTAATGTTTGAAATATTACTGTTTCTGTTGCACAAATTAATCTTTTAAGATGTTTATAGGCAAGAAGGTAGATGTGTAAACTTCAAATATCTGTTCGATTTATCAAGACATGGTGTAAAAGTACTCCAGTGTTTTCAGATAAGTCCCTTCCTGCTGGTCTAACAGCTAACTTGCTCCACCAGCTGTCAACTGACCAGAAGGTCAAGGCTCACTATACCCAACGAGAACGCTTATTTCAGGGACATCGTTTTAAGAACCCTCTGTGGCTTTCACCAATCAGTGGAAGTGAAAAGAAAGAAATAATTCACAAAGCTTCATAACCAGATTATTTAACAAATTTTAAGGATTACATAAGCACATAGGCTTTATGGAGTGTGATTTCTGCAACACTCAAAAGCCAACAACTCTGTGATGCATTGAGTGTTTCATCCCAGATGCCATGCTCCCCAAATACCATTTTGGCTGCCAGCTGTTTCAGAGTTCTGACATTTAGCGCACAGCAACAGAAAAAGACAAGAATATCAAAATTATTCTGAGATATAGACAGTGTACCAGTTTTGCTGGAGTTAAGGGAATCTAAATCCAATAACGTTTAGTTAAACAGTAACAGGCTTGAATATTATTTACAAGCAAAATAAATATCCCAAAGTCCTCATCTTAAGACTCAAGTATAAAATAAAGTTAATTTAATAAGTCCCTTAAGACAAAGGCAATTTATTGGTAATATAATTTATAAACTTAAATTAGCCATTAAAAGCCCGTTTCCATTTTGGAATAGCAAAAGAGCATTTACAAGAGAGTGACACGATGAATGAATTAAAATCTGTGGGAGAATTCGTCAACACCAAAAATGATGGTAGAAGTAGAACTTTGAGGTCAAAGTCAGCATGCTTTTTAAGTCGGTTCTTTTAGATTTGACAAAAGATTTTATGCATGCAGTGTGTTTTAGTGACCATTCAAATTCAATGAGATATGCCATCTTAAAATGAGCAACATGACAATACATAATGTAGATGCTGCAGGTGGATTCAGATTCAGGTGAATAGTCTTTTGTGATTGGTTAATGAAACTGAAATCCCAGCTACAGATGGGGGTCCCCGCTATGATGTCACTCACTTGTTTCTAAAGTCCTGTTGTTTATATATTAATGACAGTTGATGATTTATCCTTCTTTTTGATTCAAGTGGTAGCTCTGGAATGCAGCTCCATTGCTATCTCCTCTTCCTTGTAAACAACCTGCAGATTTATACAATACTCTGGCATTGCTCCCTTTCCTCAATCAGGAGGTCTAATCCCTGTTGCTCATTCATCTGCTTGTTAATAAGGAAGTTAAACCGGTCTACTACTTGAGTCCTCTCACTCTTTTAATGGCACATGTTATACTTAGTAGGACTCAAAATTAGTGACTGACACCATAAAGCCACCAGGAAAGTGTTTACTGAAGAAGCTAAAGGCCATTATCTTCTATACATCTTGACTTCTTTTTGCAACCGCCACCTACTGTTTATTAAAGAGGTGCAGGTTTAAGGTGAAATATGACCGTCTTGTTTGACTACCATTATAATAAACTATATTTGAACCATTCCAGAAATATTATAGTGTTAGTAAGAGGAGGATGAGACTGATCATTAATTATAATGAGTATAAATAAATACAATGCAAAACCCATGACTTCAAGCACATGTGAAGGGAAATGGATGTTTCCCTGTAACACTAAAGTCTTATGTTTTTTATAATTCTGAACATCACTGTGGCTCATAAATTGATGTTTTTTATTGTTGCTGTCCCGGTAGATAAATGAGCCCTTCAGATGAATCTGATGTTCACGAATCTTTTTGTTTTTTTGTCCCACAGACATCCTGTAAATCAGCCGTGGCCTTCTTCCAGTTCAGTATCCTGGCTAACTACTTCTGGCTCCTGGTGGAGGGCATGTACCTGCAGACACTGCTCACTCTCACATTTGTCTTCCAGAAGAAATACTTCTGGTGGTACATACTTATTGGCTGGGGTGGGTACCTCACTTGTCATCATCCCTGTCTATCATATGTCCCTGTTTCCTTTCATTTGATTTCCTGTTTTTCCTCTTGCTCCACTTTAGTTCTTTTCCTAATGATCAGGTCACTCTGTTTGTGCCTCCCAGGTCTCCCGACAGTAATCATAACAGCTTGGATTCTAACTCGAAACTTCTACGACAACAGGGGGTGAGCAACGGCTGCAGGAAATCAAGACAATATCAAATTAGAGAAAATTTAAATAACAAAAATGATAGTAACACATACTCACTCAAATAACTTTAGACTAAACATAAAATGTTAACAAAAATAACATATTTTGTGATCTAGTCTTTGTGGCAAAAAAAGGCTTTTTGATAATATATTCATTTGTGCAGTAATTCACACCCACAGTGCTGTACAAAACTCTCGAGGATGACTCATTTCTTTATTTTTTGCAATGAAAGCAGGAAATAGTTGGAGAAAGTTATTGGAACATGTTTGAATACAAGTGAAAACACAGTATACAAGGAAAAACTAACAAGTTTGTACAATTCTAATGAACTTGAAAGTGAATATTTGCTATGACTTTGTTCTTTAGCATTGAAACCTCTTTGGCAAGTGTTCTTGTAATTTTTTTTGACTTCAGGATTAGTTTTCCGGGCTTCTTTGAGAACACTCCAAAGTTCTTCTTCGGAAATTGACTGCTTTTGCATTCTCTGTCACCTTTAATAGAGCGTCCACCATGTTTTACAAATGACTGTAGATACTCCCCTGACCTCCTCTTTATGGAAATATGATGATTCATCACTACACTAATATTGACAGTTTCAGTGCAGTCCTTGTGCCATTGTGCATACTTGTCTTTTCTCCTGGTTCTGTTCCTTAAGAATGGCTGCCAACATTCAACTGAGACCATTTCTGGTGAATCTTCAGTTAACAGCAGATGGCTCAACTGAAGGGGCTGATGCTTTTCTCACATCCTGTGTCAGGCTAGTAACAAATTATCTAAAGGGGAAGCTTATCTAAGGTTTAATTCAATTCAGTTTTATTTATATAGCACCAAGTCACAACACCAGTTGACTAAATGTACTTTATATTGCAAGGTAAAAACCCTACAACGATACAGAGAAAACCCAACAATCAGATGACACAGGCAAACACTTTGTGACAGTAGGAAGGAAAAACTCCCTCCTAACATTATTGAATCTCTGCTAAAACCAGGCTCAGGGAGGGAGAGCCATCTGCAGCAATAGGTTGGGTTGAGGAGGTTAAAACGGGACAAAAGACACACTGTGGATAGTGTAAAAAAGCAAATAGGGTGTCTGTCTCTCCATTTGTAATATAACGTTGATTTTTGCAAAGTTGTCTGTTATATGTAAACACAACACTAGTTCTTCCCATAAATTATGTGTCTTTTTATACCTGTATGATTCATGTTAGTAGGAAGTGGCTTAACAAACAAAACAAAAAAATATTTTGAAGATGGCCAGGACTGTAGTCAATACCACCTTCACAAATGACATTATTATAAGAAAATCTGGTTCCTTGGAAGCAAACTATGAAGAAATGTGGAGTGGCTTAAGATATTTGCACAGTACTAAAAATGTATTAGCTTATTACTATTGGTTTTAAGCTTAATATATATTGTTGATTGTTCAAAGATACTATAAACAGCCTTGTAAGCCAGTGGTAACACACATTTCTGCCTGTTGTGTGTCTCAGGTGCTGGGATGACACAGATGTGGCCTTTATCTGGTGGATCATAAAAGCTCCAATAACGGCATCACTACTGGTGAGTACAGTAAAAGTGGGAGCCATTGCTGGATTATCAGAGTCCTCAATCTTGGCACAGTCCTGCATTTTGACTCTGTGGCTGCTATTGCAGACACTTATCTTGTCTTCACACTAGGAGCGACAATAACAAGTCAGGGAGAGTTGAGTCATATTCTACCTGGTCAATGCACAGAAGGTCAACAGAAATGACTAAATCAGAATCTCTCTGGTTTTCCTGCTATTGTGTTATGTTTGTTTCATTAAGACTATTATTACAGCTCTCATATCCCTCCTGACTCTAGAATTTATTATATTATATGTTCATATTATAACTTTTTCTCTCTGCAGTGTTATAAAGTGCCTTTACACTGTGGTACTTGTTTCAGTTTATTGCATCATATGTTGGTGTGTGTATATGTGTGTTTACAGTGGGGGTACAAATTCTCAATTCTTACTCATATAATTTGCCCTTGACTTGCCACTGAAGGGAATCACGTCTAGATTCCAAACCTCTCCTTGCACATGCGCAGTCACTAAAATCTTACTTGATTATTTTTCGACTTCTTTAAGGGCATCTGCTCGTGCAGTGGCTTTTTTGGTCTCTCTTTTACCGTTTCCAGCATTGCTATTTTTAGATCGCTCCATGAAAGTCAAATTCAAACCACTCATACATGTATTTTGCAATTTTACCAATGACCTTAAACTCAGTAAGTGTCAACTTCCTCACAAAAATGGATTTTGGCCATCATAATTGGTGATAAACAGTAAATCTTGATCCAGAAACCAAACAACAGTTGTCAATGAAAGACTCTACAGCAGGGGTCCCCAATTCCAGTCCACGAGGGCCTGTTTCCCTGCAGGTTTTAGGTGTGTCCTTGATCCATCACAGCTGATTTAAATGGCTAAATGACCTCCTCAACATGTCTTGAAGTTCTCCAGAGGCCTGGTAATGAACTAATCATGTGATTCAGGTGTGTTGACACAGGGTGAGATCTAAAACCTGCAGGGACACCGGTCCTCGTGGACTGGGATTGGGGACCCCTGCACCACCTTTGGACACTGTCCAAAGGTGGTGCATCTGGGATATTCAGCAGAAATGTTTCATTATTTGGTTGCTCTTGTGTGAATGGGAAACAGCTGGAGCTGAGACTGGTGAGTGGCAGCTTGGTGTCTGCAGTGGAGCTGGCTGTCTGGAGCAGCAGTTGAGGGTATGTAAGGGATGAGACTGAATTGAACTCTGGTGAATAAGGCCGGATGGGATTAATTGACTACAATTGTCTTTCCATCTGGGTCATGGAGATACACACGCTTGAAACTGTTCGAGACTGCAGCATTTTAGGACAGCTGGAAATGATTCCTACTAGCTGACAAACCCACTGAGAGAGGCTTGTCCATAGATTTTTAAACTGGGGAGGAAATCCTAAAGATCCTCATATCTCCCCAGAGATCTTCTGGGTCCATGTTTAGTGCCAATGTTTTGTCATAAATTTCAACGTTTTTGACTAAAATGCAGACATATGAAGACAGGCAAACAAGCCTTTACTTTAGCTGAGAAGCAAAAAATTCACTGGGAGAATAAACAAAATCCAGAACTGGCAAGAAATATGCAGGAGAGAATAACAGACACTGACAGAAAGGACCAATAAGAAGACAGCGCTATGTATACACAGAAGGACAATCAGGGAAAGGGGATACAGCTGGGAAAAACAGGTGCAGACAATCAAGACAACCAGACAGCAGGGAATGTAACAGTAAATGCAAACCACTACAGACAAGTACAGCTACCAAAATAAAACAGGAAGAGAGAATGATGGCTAAATGAGGAAATCCTGACACATGAATGAACTAAATCTAGGGGCATTTATATGAGTGTAAAACAGAATAACTTGAACTAAACACTTAAAACAGAAAATACTAAGGAATAATACATCCATGTAGAGACGGGTGGATGAAGCGCTGTGAAACTTTGAGGCTTCTTCCTGATTGTACTGAAAAAACAGGCAAAGCTTCAAAGTCTCAAAGGCAGATACTACTAGTATCTGTCTACATCTAGTGCTCATGTGCAATTATAACAGCCACAAATTTCCAAATGATTCACACAATTCAGTGATTCCAGTTCCAAAACAAAAGAGATAATTTAAATCTTAAGAATCAGAATACTATATTAATCCACAGGGAAATTGTGTGGGTTACAGTTGCTCCAAGACAGTAACAGTAACAGACTAAACTATTTAAACAATACAATATGTTACAGATTTTGCAAATTTAAGAAATAGCACCAATATATAAAAATCACTCAATTATAAATATCAAGGATTAACAGGGGTGGTTATAAATAGATATCAAGAATATTGACAAGAATATTACAGAGTAGAAATGAGCATATGCAAAAAGGGTGTAACTATTGCTGTGTTTACAGTGTATTCGATGGAGGAGTTCTGCAGGGAGACGGCCACGGCCAGGAATGATTTCCTGTGTCGTTCAGCAGCATCTTCCTTCTAAGAATTATTGACCACACATGAAAGTGCTACAACATTTTGAAATGTCAAGTTGCTAATAAAATGTTTAACACTGGAACCACGATGGAGTCATTTTTCAGGATGCTGGGTTGACTAGCAAAACTTACTGTTCAGAGACATTTTGACATAAAGACTCACAAGATTTTTTTTAAAATATATATATATAAGAGGTTGTAATTAGATAAAAGATTAATAATTAGGCTACTGCAGGCCTGAATGGGTAGTACAAAAACATGATTTCCTGCATTTAACTGTTGTAAATTACTTATTTATTACTTATCAAACCCGTCAGACATCCTCTCATGAATGATATCGAGTCATTTTGAGGTGAAAGAGCATTCCTCTCACAGGGTAGAAGCTGCAATCAATTTAGGCAAAGTCAGTTTTTTAATATTCTTTGTTTATCCAGGTATAATTCAATTCAATTCAATTCAATAAAACTTTATTGATCCTGAAGGTTGACCCCGAAGGAAATTGGGTTAAGGCTGCCAACCTTTGCCAGCGCCGACTTACCCTTCTGACCATACATACATTACACAAACATCACATGGGGAAGACAGGTCAGAGAGGTATAACAATGGAAGATGCACCACATGAGGAAAGATAAGGAGAAAAAAAAATAACTCCCCCCAGACTGAGCTCCAATAGGGAGATCAGTTTGAGAACAGAAAAAAACACCTCTGCACATAGCACATGAAAAAAACTCTAAATACGCCAAAGAAACACATGACAAGCAACAGGGGTGGGTAAAGGGTGAGAGACAGCCGACTTAGACAGTACATCCGGGCCTGCACCCTTTGCGCTGGTCTCCATGATCCACCGTCAGCATCAGAAGGGAATAAGCGTCGAAGGCGTTTGGAAAGGGAGGGGGGATGAGTGTGTGCATATCAGTGTATATGTATGTGTGTGTGTGTCGAGAGTTCAGCTGAGACAGTGTCCTTCGCCCTGCCAGGCTAAGTAAACAGTCTTTCAGCCAACCCAGGTGGCCTTGCATGGAATGGGAAGGAACAGTCTAAACACAGTCGTTATCAGGGTGTTTTTTGTTCGGCTCCAGCCTTGCAACCGCAGCTGGCGCCGAGAGGGTATCCACATGAAGTGATGGTGCTTTTTACTTTAGTGCGAACAACTCATATGAATTTCAAAGCTGTTCTAACAGTCCAACACTGGTCTCTCAATCTCCTGTTGGAGAGCCTTGAGCTTTCTATGATGTTATCCAAACTTACGTTCCGTGATGTTGTCATTCTTTTTGCTCAAAGAGCAGGTTCTGAGAACTCACGACCGCAGTGCACTTCCCCAAGATGTGATCGAATTTGTGCTCAAAGGTGTTATTCGAGGTAGTCCCTCAAGATGTAATCCAGTAAATGCTTAATGGAATTAAAAATGTCTTTTTCAAAAGAAATCTGTCCTCAAAGGCAGCAGAAATTACAATAATTATGCCACTGTGAAGTGGCTTAAAGGGACTAGATTGATTATAATGTAGCTCGCACAATAGGTAAAAGGCAGAGTTATGAAGATGCTGGTAAAACAGGTATTTTTTTTACAGGCTAACCCCTTGATAACTTCTGCTGGCTACAGGCATAATAAACATATCAAAGTTTTTAGACATAACAAAGTAAGTGTGAGTTGTTAAAACCAATAATCAATCAATAATTGATCTTTTTTAAAATTCGAAAAGAAATTAGATGGAAATAGTCAGGATGATCCCACCTGGCAAATCTAGTGTTTAATGTGTCGTCCAGTTATCAGGCTACTTAAAACATCATTTAAATTGTTATGACAGGTTTGTACTGTGAAGTAAGATGATAAGTATTTCAACATCAGTGTTTTGGAGGTATGATTGAAGGTTTTTGGCAACTTTTAATGCCACAAAAGATCTGTTGCAACACTACAAAGCAGGGAAGGTACACCAAACATTTTGCATTTCCCTAAAACAAATGAAACAATGTTAAAGAGTTGAACCCATCACCTCACTTCCAGTGTTCCACTGTGACGTATGAAGCCTCAAGCATTATCTGTCATATGGTCACAGAGGTTTGATTCAAGCCTCAACACAGTGTTTTGGACCAGTCTGCTTCAACAGAGTGAAACAAGCTTCAGCCTAAGAGCCAAATGTTCCATCTCTAGTTAAATGTTAACAATATTCTGACAGATTACTAATTTGGTGCTTCCCACTTGTTTCATGTAGGTGAACTTCATGATCTTCATCAACGTAATCCGTATTCTGGTCCAGAAGCTTAGGTCTCCTGGTGTTGGTGGCAATGATACCAGTCACTTCAAGTGAGACAGAATAAATGCTGCTGCGTGTGAATGCATAAACAACAAATATAAAGTCACAAGGGATTGCGAATCTGCATGTGTAGAATGTGTCTGTGTTTTGCATGTGTGTGTGCAGGAGGCTGGCGAAGTCCACGCTGCTGCTCATCCCACTGTTCGGGATGCATTACATGGTGTTTGCCTTCCTGCCAGAAAACACAGGGACAGAGGCACGCATCTTCATAGAGCTCGGTGTGGGTTCCTTCCAGGTAGAACCAAAAATACACATCAACATATAAAGGTAAAAAAGAATAAATATGTTTCATGAAAGCATAAGTAATACTTTTGAATACTATTTCTCTACTCTCAAGGGCTTTGTGGTGGCACTGCTCTACTGTTTCTTGAATGGTGAGGTAAGTAAAGTAAATACTAAACAACATTAGGAGATGTAATGCCTCGACTATTTCATAGTCATATATAGTCTGACTGTAGATTTTTCTTTCATTTAAAAGGTTCATAAAACTGCACAGATGATGCAAATCAAAGATAAAATACACAAAACAGTGCTGCAGTACGGCAACCTTAATTAAATGTAATAATAATAATAATGGATTGGATTTATATAGCGCTTTTCTAGGCACCCAAAGCGCTTTACAATACCACTATTCATTCACTGGCAGCTACAGTTGTAGCCACAGCTGCCCTGGGGCAGACTGACAGAAGCGAGGCTGCCATATCGCGCCATCGGCCCCTCTGGCCAACACCAGTAGGCAAGTAGGGTAAAGTGTCTTGCCCAAGGACACAACGACCAGGACAGAGAGCCCAGGGATCGAACCGGCGACCTTCCAGTTACAGATGCGATTCCCAACCCTCTGTGCCACGGTCGTAGAAAGTTTATTAAAGATTCAGTATTCTGAAGTAGGGTTGGTGGAATCAATATCAAGTCAATCCTGAAGGAATCTAGCTTTTAGTGGAATTACCAGCACAATCTCTCTACGTGCTCCATTTTTTGCTTCTTTTTGCCCTTCCCCCCGACAGCCTGTTGCAGTCAGTAACTACCACCCCCCAAACCTAGTTCTGCCAGAGTTCAATAAACAAAGATCACTTGGATCACTTGGAAGAATTGAACATGATAATGTTCAATTCTTCCAATCCTATTGAGATAAAGAGATGAATGTATTTGGCCAACAGACTCCGATGGCCCATCATGGCAGTGACAGGATTTAGGACAGGACCCCTGGGAATCTAGATGCTGGTGGTGGTGGTGAAAATGAAGGTTGATCCTTTAAACTATGCAACATGGAGGCTGATTGGTCCAAAGAAGGCAGGCAAGAAGATGATTGGAGTAGAGTAATGATAACAGTACTGAGTTTGAGTTAGTTAAATTTACCCTTTTTAATTTTTCATATTTATTTCCTATCTTATTCATAGCCTTTTCCTTTTTTTTTTTTTTCTTTAGGTCACGAGCAGTTGTCTAAGCATTTCACTGCATATCGTACTGTGTATGACTGTGTACGTGACAAATGAAATTTGAATTTGAATTTGAATTTGACAGTGTGGAAAAGCAGTAGGGATGTAAAGAACAGAAAAGCAGCCTTACATCAGCGAAAGCAGGAGGAAGACTGATTACAGATTGTTGAATGCACAAGCTTAATTTCTTCCTTTCCAAGTGCCACTCAAGGGATTCTCTGCTGTATTACATAAAATGTCACTATATTACAATTACTGTAACTGTTGTGTTGTATAAATAAAACTGAAGGGAATTGAATAAACTAATAAGATGTCAGGAACCTCACAATCTATAGGCACCTGAACAATGAGGACTATTTAGAGATGCCATTTAATCATCGTCCTTAGAAAAGCACTAATCAGATTAAAGCACCTGAGTAGCAACAAGAAAGACTTGTAGTGTTTTGAAATAATTACTTTTTGTTTTACTTCTCTCTTATGCCTCATCTTTTACTAGATGAGGCATATTTAACAAAATGTGCATACTGGAAAGGCTAAAATTGGTTTAGTTTAGTTCTCTTTTATATGGTAGAGAAAAAAACACTTGGAAAGCTTCATGCAGGTACATTGTGTATTTCCTGCTTCTAAAAACAGTTATTTGGAATTTATGTTTTCCATCTTGATTTCAGGTGCAGGCTGAGCTCAAGAAGAGGTTTTGGAAGTGGCAGACTCAGAGTTACCTGAGCTACAGTAAACGACGGCGCACCCTGTTCACTGAAAGCAGCACAATCACTCAGATATCTGTCCTGGACAAATCTAGCCCAAAAGATAAGCCAGGCTCTGAGACACACGCCCTCACCAATACCGTCACACACAGCAACGTCTCGACTGTGTGAAAAACAGCCGACAGCACGTAGTTGTCCTTTTCTACACCTGCCTGGTTAGCAGAGACTAAATCACAGAGCCTGATTGTTGAACGTTTAAGGTACCTCCTAATTTGTATGCTACATTTTTTTTAGAAGTGTGGGACTTGTAGGCTTACCGTACACTAAGTCTAATTTGAGTTCAGCTCATTAATTCATAACATCCTATACATCATTTCACATTAAACCTTTCTCCATGATGACACTAGATATCATGTTGGCAGAACAAGAGGTCATTTGTCTTTTGTTTTTTTCAGATTTTGTTTTTATGCTCCAGGGCCCCTCCTCCACATCTTACTCACAACCACCAATTTTTTTTCTTGCCTTGTTTATCACAAAACCATGTCTTGAACTGCTCAGTTGTGTGGGTGACTGTTTTAGTATTTAGCTTTCATTCTCATTATTTTCTTCCAACCTGCTCTTAAAAGGAAATGGGCAAAAAAAAAAATACATATGTATTCATTGTTGTCTCAAGCAGGCACCAGACAGACAGTTTTAAATGTATAATTACAGGCGAATCAATTTTAAACCTTTCTAAAATTCTGAAAATTGTATCACTCCTTTTTGCTTAGTTGTTACTGGTTGTCCAGTATTGATAAATCTATTTACTGATTAGAAAACATGAATTAAACTGATCCTGTTATGCTCATTTCTAGCTCCATAATTTTATATTTGGAGAATACTAGAATAGCTTTGCATGACAGTTCAAAATAATCCGTATTGTTTTATACTGGGCTTTAGTGCTGTCCATCCACTGTTTGAAACAAGCTCCTTCCTCCTTTTATCTGATTGGCTCTCCCCTAACAGCAGATGATCATATTTGGGAGATCTCCTCTCACTTATGTTGTAGATTACTTCTGCAGCCAGTGACCTCGTTATGACCATTCAACACTGTAACAGTTTAGTATATGAAAAAAAGGAAAAGCAGAATAAAATAAAATAAAATAAAATAAAACAGATATACAGAGCATACGTAGTTTTTAAAACAGGTTAGTGAGAGACAGAAAAGAAGATGAAAACAGGGTAAGGATGAAACGACCATGTTCTTTTTACTAAATATTCTTCTGTTTGCTAATTCTAAGGTGAGCACAGCTCATGAATGAGTTTTCTTTCTCAGTCTCCAGACTTTACCAAAGCCCTGTACATACAATAGTTAGTTTTTAAATCACTGCTGAAGTAAACAATAACACATGTTAATTAGACTAGATAGTTATAAACTATATATAAATGCTGGACATAGCTTTGGGGTATAAACGTGATGCCAGTGCCTTACATTTGGGATTTTTCATGGCCAGTAGGGGGCAACTCCTCTGGTTGCAAAAAGTCTTGAGAGAATGACGCTTAATTCAATTCAATTCAGTTTTATTTATCACCTAAGGTGATAATGTAGACTTTACAATAATAAATAAATTAGCTCCCTCTTGGGGCACTTTATGCACTGACTTGGTAGTTTCAGCTCACAATAACTAAAATATGAAGTTAATTTTGTTCAAGTTTGAGTTAGTCATTGTCAGCGTCAGAAAAAAGACTTATTCTGGAAGCGGCTTGTCAGTCACTGGTATCCTTGATTTCATTTCTGGGCTGCTCCTAAGTCGTCAGTGAACCATCAAGATGGCAACAGTAAAATTGCTCAACTTGAAGCTTAATAGGATTTCAGTAACCAGTGGGTGTTGTTGTGGTGGCTGTGTACATGTCTTATATACAGTCTCTGGTGATGACAGATTAAGTAAGAGACACAAAGGATTTCTGTATTGAAGTACAGCCTGAAATTATTTTAAAAAGTGATTTTATTTATTATGTTTAAATACAATAAGCCAGCATGCAACTACCGAACACTGCTGTTCCCCAATGTTCCCTAATGTTCCCATCACAATCGTACACGGATACATAAATTCAAATTTTATTAAGACTTTAAATCAAAATGAAAAATCTGAACAGCTGCCTAATGTTTTTTCATTTTGATTTAAACTATCCAACAATAATCATCACATTGAAATTTAGATGTAACTTAGTAACCAGACTAGCAAGCTAACACTGATAGTAGCTGATTACAGAGCTCTGGCTAATGTTAGAGTCTTTTTTCTTGGCAGTAAAAAACACTTGCTCCCTCAGCAGCTTCACGTTCCCAATTTAGGCATAGCCAGTTATATTTGCTGCTACACATGACATGCGGTGCTGCTTGTAAAAATGAAAACTCTGGGGAAATGTTCACAAAAGACACTACTCTAGTTGCAGACACTTTTGACACCTCTAGACCTGAGGCTAGTTTTTCATGTACTAAATACAAATAAAGAGTTCCTTGCCCACAGATCAGAAGAGGACCTAAACATGTGTTCCCTAAAAATTCATTCATGTAAGCAGGTTTTGTAGGGGTACAATTTCTCAGTCTCAAAATTATTAAAAAAAACTTTTTTTTAATATAAAATAGATCCTCAATCAGATGATTTTTTTTTTGTTTTGTTTTTTTTTGGTACCTTCAACTTAAATTATGTCTGTGATTAAACGGGATGTAAAAGAAAAGTCTAAAAGGTCCCACATACATGTTCACTGTGGCATTTAAGAGCTCTAGTGAACAGTGATTAATGGCATGTTGAATGTTGGGTATTGTATTGTAATCAAGTTTCAGAGAGACAGGCCGATACACATTACACATTGCACAGTGCACTTGTGCACATCTGGAGCACTACACTGTAAAATCTATTTATTGTGAAATTATTGTTTTAATGTCTCTGTGTGAATGTAAATAGACTTCAAATAGAGTTTACATATATTTTATGATCTTGCAGTTTGACTTACAGATTTGTACAACCACCACATTAAATGACCTTCTTATCATAGTAAATAAAAGATAGTTAAAATGTTTAAAATTCCCAAGTTGATGTTTATTCAGTTATATTCAGTTTTGTTTATACAGCACCAAAGCACAACCGACGCCTCAAGGCGCTTTATATTGTAAGGTAGACCCTACAATAATACATACAGTGTACATTCAGCATTTTTTGTATCATACTGTACATACATGTAACTTACTTTTATTCTTATATACTGTAATATTACAAAATGTTGAAAATGAAAAAGAAGTGTTTGTGTACATGTTCCTATTTATTAGCATAGGTTCAGATAAGTCTAGTTACTAATTACTAAGCTAATGCTAATGCCAACACTGATCCAGAACCTCTTTCCTCTAATAAAGAATTTTGATTGATAGGCTGCTTTTACCATGTTAACTGAGTACTGATGTGGTATCACTCTGTCTTTTGACACAATAGGAATTACGCATGTATGTAGACTGCATACTGCATACACAGATATGTACATGTGTATACATTTCAAGTGTTGTCCATGAAAGACATATAACCTTAATCAGCTACTTACCAGGATAGTGCCTTTTCTCATGCGGTATAGCTCGATGTTTCCCAGCAGTTCAGCTGGACTGTAGGTTTGCATCCAAACTCTGTGTAATCCAGTAAGACTGTGATACTGTACCACATGCTTTTGGCTTTTGCTGAGCTATGTGATAAATGTGTTGCTCTGTTGAAAATTGTATAATTAGGAAGTTAATTTTTATTGTAATGAAGGAAAAAAAGCTGTGTATGTTGTGTGGACCTTGCAGTTTAGATTGTTTCATTTACATTGTAGGAATTGGACAATGCCCCCCCCCCATTTTACTTATAAGTGTGATGTGAATGTTTCTCATGCAGGTTCCAGTTTACTACATGTGTGCAAGTTTCTGCTTTGGTCTTTGCTTCTACAGGGAGGAGATATATAAGCATACGGCTGGCTTTTAATCAAGCATAGCGTTAGTTCACAAAGTGAAGCTCTGCCACAGGCCCAGTAGATCAGCTGGACTGAGTGTCAGCTCACATCAGCTGATGGCTCAGCTGATATTCGTTTACACGTCCAACTGATAATGAAGAGCAAATTATTTCAACTGTACTTCATTTCATTTTTTTTATTTTTAAATAGCACCTATTAACCACAATACTCATCTCAGGGGACTATTGTGGTAAATCTTATACTTGCTTGCTGCTTAATGTCGTGTAACAAACAGAGTCATACTACTAAATATAAACATGTAGTAAATGTGCAGAAAGAATTATTATTCTTTTGATGACAATGGACCTCCCTGAAATATTATTAAGTATAATTTTGGTGGTGTCTTTGGCCCTAAATATTAATCCTACAGGAAATGTTGGGTAATGTATAAAAAACTCCATAAAAGAGGGCTGGTGCCACCCTCTGACTGACCCCTCTGGATGTTGCCCTGATTAAATCCTAGAGTGCTCAGTTGTTATATGAACAGCAGTCTTTTAAAAAATAATAATAGTATTTCAAAGATTTACATCTTTCACAAACAACATTGAAACAACAAGTTAAAAACATTTATTGTTGATATTTACATGATGTACAAAAAAACCCTTCTAATGTGCACCCCCCCCCCCCAAAAAAAAAAAAAAAAAGAGAGAGATCAAATAAAAAGGAGCTGATGAGCAGACAGGAGCAGACTCATAGCAGAGATCTTGAAGTTAATTTTACATTCAGCAATCTGAATCTATGATGAGCCCCATAGCAATCAGTACAATAAAACAATTGAAGAGACAGCATATGTCAAAAAAGAAATTCATTAGAAATCAACTTTGTTGTCATGCTATACAAAAAAACAACCCAGCAGTTTTTATGGCACTGTACCTTTCCTCATGTTTGTGAACATTAACATTCAAAGGAAAAGTATTTAATGGGTCATGATGGGACTTAAACTACAATCTGATAAAGCATTCACAGTTGAAACCCAATATCTGTGTTCTAGCTTATTAATTGCTTCACCCACTCGTCGGAGGGATTTAAAACAAGGACACAGCTCAGATTCCCTTAATGGCATGGAAGCACGACCCTCCCCTGTGATTACGTCTGCTGGTCAAATGAGATCAAAACGTTTTAAAGCGCATGCATCAGCCGATTAGAGTACAGAGGCA